TTTTTTTTTTTGCAACTTAGAAGTAATATTAATGAAGTTGAAATTGATTTTTAACCGGGAGGAACGGATCGGAAATTGAATGATTGATGTGACTTATCGAGAACAAATGGTGCCACATTGCACCATCATTAAGAATAGTTTAAATGAGAAGAAGAATTTTCTCCTTTATAATGGTAGAAAGAGTAAGAAATATATTTCTAGATTTTACCTTTAGAATGGATTCATTCATAAACTAAGCATCCAGAATCTGGCGTCCTTTTTTTTTTTTCTTTTTTTCGTTACTATGCACATTTAAGGAAATTCCTGTTTACTTAATGACATTATTATTTATTATTGTTTATTATTGTTTATTATTATTATTATTATTGTTATCATTATTATTATTATTATTATTATTATTATTATTATTAATTTTTCTGAAGTGTAATTTTCATATGACTACTGTCACATCAATTTTACATTCCTATGAAATGTTACCTTTCCAGGAATGACTTCAGGTGGTTTGATTGAAAGCACAATAAAATAATCTCAATTTTTTCTAAGGTTCATTTCAAGAGCAAAAAAAAAATTCAAAAATTGTCGTTTGGTTTTTCATTAAAATATTGAGAAATATTTTTGGATGAGTTAAATTACTTTAGATGAGATTTATTTTTGATAAGCTAACTTTAGACTAGAGGCCCATTATGGAATAAGACAATCAAGCCAAGAGTAAAATTTTGGGAAATAAGGCTTACTAAGGATAAAACAATTCATATAAATAGTGAAAAAAAAGATGAAAAGCAAAAAAAAAGGAAAGATTTGTGATTTAAATATCATTTTCTATGTAATATGTATGCATTATTCAATTTTTTTTTTAATTTTTTCAATTAACTGAATATTTACAAAACCTGAAAGTTTTTGTCATTTTAAAATTCCCTTTTTAATTGGAGCACTAATCATTATCATTAATGTACTTTGGTTGGCAATTATTTAGAAATCATAAACACTCTCTGTAGACAAAGTTCTAGTTTTTTAAATAAAAAAATATAAGTGCAACTTATCAAGTTCAATGACTCTATCATATCATCTCAATATTCAGCGGCTTTATCATATGGTTATCATATCACTCAGTGGTTTTGTTTTTACATCCAACGGTTTGATCTTTCAAATTATTAATTTAAATAATACTGTTAATCGATTAAACTTTGCATGATGGTATAATGGAAATCAAGATGATTCCGTGTTCTTAATATGTGCTTTCATATTTTCCATTCCTGTTTACTTAATAACATTATTATTTATTATTGTTTATTATTGTTTATTATTATTATTATTATTATTGTTATCATTTATTATTATTATTATTATTATCATTATTATTATTATTATTATTATTATTATTATTA